TGGGACCCGCCGCGCGCTAACGCCTGCCAGGCTCCTGCCGGGCCCCCGCTGGCCGCCTGCAGGGCGGTGGGTAGGCCTCCCGCCGCGCGGCCGCGCACGTGCTGCGCCCGCGTTGCCTACCCTGCGGATGGCAGGCGCTCCGGGCCCCCTGGCCGGGCCTCGGGCCGGGCCGAGCAGCAGACGCAGACCCGCGCGGAATAGCAGATGTTTCCCGCTTTATGTGTCGTAACCTGAAAGAGCAACGCGCGGTTTGTTTCTTTTTTTGTGACCATTATTTTAAAATACGAATTGAAATTCTCGAGCCGTTTTTTTGTATCGTGTTAATTTTACGACTAACTTTGCAATTTAGCGGTTGCAAAAAGTTTTTTAGGCCGAGAGTTCGTCATGGGAACTGGTGTACTTTGTAGGTCGAGGCCGCCTATGTACCTGCTCCCCAGCGCGCGGCGGCCGGGACCCTCTCTCTGATTGCATAACAATTTCATTTGAATGTATAATGCGTCGCACTCGTATAGCTACATGTGGCATCGATCCGCGAACAGAGAGAGAGAGAGAGAGAGAGAGAGCGACGCTGGAGAGCGTGGCGACGACGGCCACCGGGGCGATGGCACGCTCGCTGTCGGCAGCAGCAGCAAGTGAAATAGGAAGAAGAAGAAGAAGAACTAGAAGAAGAAGAGAAAAAAGAAATGAATCGAATCGGCCACGCCGCGGGCGGAAATATAATTGACGCGTCTAATCGACTCGCAACAGTTTGACGTGACGTGCGGTGCGTCCAAAAGTTTTGCGGGCGCGCTGCTTTCCTCTCTGCGCCGCGCCGCTAATGGCGGCAGGGACAGTCTGCTGCCCCAACTATTCTGACGCATTAATCTTATTGACGGAGTGATTTGCGCGCGAGTTTCGGGATGGGGCGCCCGCCTTTACAAGCAGGGAGGGGATTTATTACAGCGGCAGGGTGCGCAACCAATAAACGTCTTGTTCTCCATCAACTCTCTCTCTCCCTCCCTCTGGCTTTTGGGTTTGGGTCCTGCCCTTCCTACCTCCTTGCACTCTCCTTTCCCACTCTCTCGCCCCCCCCTTCTCTCGAGTACTTCACCACAGGCTGCTGGGCGCGTTTTCGTGTCGCGAACCCCCCGCTGTCTGCAACAGACGCTCTGATGCACGGTGCAGGGACCTCGCCCGTCGGGACCAAGAGGGTGAGCAAAGGTCGGGCCGGGCCGAGGCCAGGGTTGGGCGACCCCCGACCACGCCTCCAGACAGCTGTAAATGCTCAGTGCTCAGCTCAGTGTAGTAAATCAAAGGTGCGACGTCGACATCGAACCTTTCAAAGGCACTGACCCTTTAATGGCTTTTTACAAAGGCGGTAAAATTACAAGGAAAGTGAAGGGGGCGTTAGTGACGGATTTTCCTTTACGCGCCATCCCCGAAAAGGTGCGACGCGACGCCTTCTACCTTTTTTTTCTGTGTCCTTGTTGGGTGTTGTTGACGAAACTCTAATATCTCCCATTCCGCTCTGGCGCGTCCTAATTGTCGACCCGCCCACCACACGATGGTCCCCGCCCCACAATCATCATGATAAGGTCGCTATGATGACGTCTTTTGTACGGGGGGCAGAGTCTCGCGCAGACTGATTAATGGGCCTGTTTGCGCGCGGGCTTCAAAAATATAAATGGACCCGCCCGGGGGGGAGAGGCGCGGCAGCGCGGCAGCGGCGAGGCCCTTCTGGTCTACCCAACCACCCTGCCCCCCGTGCCCTCCCCCGGACCGCGCACCCGGACAAAGTTTGTGATCCGTTAGGACTTATGTACGCTGCTGCATTAATAACGTGTCCACCTTGTCGCGGCTCGAAACCCATCCTTTTCAAAAAAAGTTTTTTCGCCTCCTTTTGATGAGACTCGCTCCCTCTGCTCTGCCGGGCGGCGGTGGGGGGACCGCGGGTGGGACACGACGGCGCGGACTGTATTATATTCACTTTGGGCGAGGCGTACTTACTCGCGAGCTCTTCAAAGCCACGCGCTGGATCTGCCGAGCCTCTGTTTCGAGGCGACGCAGGCGCTGCGCGTGTGACTGTGTCCGTGCCGCTGCAGCGGGCGTTTTGCACGGGCTGCGCGTCAGTACTCGGTACTTCATCAAAGCGGCGCGCAGCTCTGCTTCTCACGGTTGTTTTGTCCTTCGCCGCAAAGAGGGGATGTGAAATATGCTCGGCGATTATTCATGATGCCTTTGTGTTTCTGAGAGTGGTCGCGGGTGCCTTCCCCGGGAAATCGAAATGAAACCCCACTCTCTGCATTCCAGTGTTTTACGTGCTCGGCAGGCGTCGTCTCATCTACCTCCCCTCTTCTCTCTCTCTCTCTCTCTCTCTCTCTCTCTCTCTCTCTCTCTCTCTCTCTCTCTCTCTCTCTCCCTCTGGTATTACTCTTTGTCTATCTCATGGCCCTATGCTACACCCGTCTCGCTCTTCATTTCCGTTCACGCCCCCCCCCCCAGTCTTTTTCGTCCTTCCACAACCCGCAGTATTCGTCCTCTTCGCGTGGAACGAGACAATTGAGGAGACTGGCTCCACAGATTTGCAAAGCAGATGCTCATCAAATTGTGGCGCGCGTGAAGCGGAAGAGAAGAAAAAAAAGAATGAGAGATGGGTAGGAAAAAAATGAAATAAAAGATTGATCCGTGTCCTCGCCCCGCCCCACGTGTATGACGACTCGCCCAGCAGCGCATTATTGAGGAGGCTACAGCCTTTTCGTTTTCTCTTTTCAATCCAACGCGTCAGCTGAGAGAAACTTGGCCAGCAAAAGAAGAAGGAAAACACCAAATGAAATCCGTTTGGGTGGGATGCTGGCGACATGATTGGTTGTCTGGTGAGTGCGCCGGCCGCAGGCGTCGTGGGCGGGATGACCTGACAGGTGTGCATTAGTGGCTCCAGCGCGTCACCCATGAGGCTGACAGTCCTTACAGATGAGGCTATGGCGACGCGCCGCCACTCCGCCTCACGCTCATGCAGATGCATAATTCTGACGGCTGACGTCGTATTTAGCGCGGCTGAGCGACGTTTGTCTAATTATGTCGCACGGAGAGGGGGTGAGAAGATGAGAAGGGAAAAAAAGAGGTACATTATATAATAGAATGAAAAGACGACCAGATTTTTTCCCGCTCGGAATTCCAAGACGAGCTGCCGGAGATGACCAGCAACGGCGGAAGACTTTCGGTGGATTCCTGAAATTCCAGACGGCCCTCCAAGCGGCCGCCCTCCCTTTCGATGTGTCGGACTTTGGGCCCGCGGTACTCACGTTGCTCACTTGCTCAGGTTACACCATCCATGGTAGCGGTGCGTCCATCGCCGGTACCGCCTGGGAAAAGTGTCGGTAGTTGAGTTTGTTGATGTCTGCACCCACACTCACACAGGCCACATTCACGCACGCTCACAGTCGCGGCCACACACTCACATACACTCACACGCGCACGCCAGCCCAGGCACAAGAACGCGTCGGCTTTAGCTCCTCGGGGGAACTTCGGTTCGGACACCGGTCGGGTTCCGGCTTCGGTTCCGGTCGGGGTCTCGTCGGATCCGGTCCGGGAATGGTGATGGGCCACTCCAGGCCGAGCCGAGCCGAGCCGAGCCGAACCGGGCCTCTGAACGGGGCAAGCGCGTCTCGCAGACTGAGCGCTCGGTGGCCGCGTCGCGGGGAGCGGGGTGGGGCGGCGGGAGGGGAGGGGCGGTGCGCCCGGCCGCACCCCTTGGCCCACCCCACCTGTAGCTGAGCGACGATACCCCGTGACGCGAGTTCGAATCCAGCGTACCGCAATTATTTTCTCATGCTTTTCATCGATGATAAATAATGCAAGCGATTCTCCTCTTTCTCTCGCATCACCTTTGCGACTGATCCGCTGCGGCGAAAAAGAAAATGGATATAAGAATATATCACATTAATTGCGGTTTCGTGGAGCAGTACATGGAGCTTATCTCTCTCTCTCTCTCTCTCTCTCTCTCTCTCTCTGCGTATGTTTACGTGTGGGATGGAAATGATTGGAAGTGCGGTACCGGGCGTGGAGGGGGCACAGCAGCGTAGGCCTCCTTGTGTAAACGTGTTTTGTTTAGTTTAGGCTGTACTCGGCGCATCGGCGTGGCACGGCGCGCGGGACAATATAATAAAAATCGAGCGCGCAGCGCGCGCGCGCACCTTTCAAAGCAGCACGCGCGCGCGCAAGGGAAATAAAAATGGCAAGCAAAAGAGGCAGAGGCGCGCGGGGCGGGCGCTGCTGTGTGACGTCCTTACCCTCCGCGTGACGTGTGGACGTGTGTGCCGCGCGCGTAACGAAGACGTGGGCCGCAGCCTCAGCCGCGCGGCCTGCGCGATCGATCCTCAGCCGGTGCCGCGCGGTGCGGCGGCGGCGGGACCATTGGGAGACCGAGCAGCAGCAGCAGCGTGCCGAGACAGGACTGCGTGCGGCGCGCGCCTCGTGACGCGTACGTCAAATATTGTGTTATTACCGCAAGGCGAGAGCGGCGCGCGCGCGCCTTGAACTCAACTAGTTTGCAGCCTTTGATGTTGAAATAAGAGGGGCGGGAAAGGTATGGGGGGGGGGGCAAGAGCACGACCGTAGCGTGTGTGTGTGTGCGAGATGCTATGGCACGTCTGCTGCGCCATCTTTGCGCGTGCGTCGTGCGTCTGTTGTGATGCCGACGCATAGCACTCATCCAGTTTATGCAGCAGGTACAAACATTATATTATGTAGCCCCTTAGGCGAAAATGTTTGCGCAGTTGGTCGAGTGAGTGAAAATTAAATGTGCAACGTGGGCTGGTTTCCGTGGAGGAGCGGGGAGGGTGTAGATAAATCGAGTAACCTCTTTACTTTTCGGATAGCATATACTGCATACTTTGCCCCTGCACACACTGTTTACCATGCACACTCGCGCAAGAACACACTAACTGGTGCGATGTAAATTGTAAATACTGAGTACGTGCACACACGACTTAGTTTCCTAGTGCGAAGAAAAGCAAAACCGCACCGTGAGTGACGTGTGAGTTTGGGTCTAGTTGAACCGCTCCCATCAACTTTTTTTTCTTTCTGCGAAGCCTGGAAAATATGGTGAATCCAACCTCCCCACGGAACTCGCTCCCCGTACGCCTCTTCCGCAAATGCAGAGGGTACATTGGCAACCAAAGTTTGGCCTTTCATTTTGCACATCGATGCGGAACCGGATGCGGAGTATGATCTCGTTTGAACTCCGAGTCGCTTCATTACAATCAGCGAAAAATAGTTTTTTAAAAATTCTCTTTGTTGTCGATAACACGACGCGCAGCAGCGCAGGGCATATATAAAATGGAATTGCGTCGGTGCGTTTCCAGTTATAAGCGTTCACATATTTCGACATCCTCTCGGTTCCTCTGCCCGTTCATTTAATAATGGTTCAACTGAAGCCCCCATTCCCCTCCCCGTCTGCTGGACCACATCAACCGGGGTGGCCGCAGCTCCGAGCTGCTGGCGGGTTGGTGACGCCGCCGCGTCGGGTCGGAGTCGTGTGTGCCGTCGGCCCTGACTGTCCGGCCGCCCCGCGTCGCTCTGTATCCACACGGCGAATCCCAAACTAGCCGTGCGCGGCCTGGCGTGGCGTGGCGTGGCGGGGGCAGCGCCGGCCCGTTGCATGGCTTTGACCGGGACGCATCGAACGCAATCACCGCGCCCGGGGCTGCGTCCGGACGGAACCGCCCGGGGCCGCGGTTGTGCTTCGGAAGCGGCCCGAGAGAGAACTCCCGCGGAGAGCGCCGCGCTCAAGGAGCAGAGAGAGGAGGGCCTCTCTCCCCTCCCCTCCTCCCGGTACCTAATCAGCCTCACCCTCGCCGCCGCTGTACACAGCGCACAAAAGGGAGCTCAGGATCTATTAAAAAAATGACCCGCTTCCGCGGTGGCGGGGGCGAGCCCGGGGCGCGGGCGGGAAAGCGAATATAACACGAAAGGGAAAAAAAGGGGGTCAATATGGGAGACGCGCGGGCCGAGCCGGCCGGAAAAGGGAATATAGAGGGGCGCGCGGGCGATTAAAAAGATATGGTTGCGCAGAGTGGTCCGTGTGCAGCCCGTGTTCCGCTCGCGCGCCCACGTGACCACCCGCGCCTCGTGGCTGGTGTCCTCCTCTCCCTGGTTCTCTGCGCCTCCCCCCCGCTGCTCCTCCCCACTGCTACCCCCGCCCACGTTGCGGTCCACGTGTCCGCGCTGATTGTTAGCCCGCCCCGCCTGCTGCGCCAGCGCTTTCACACGCTGTCCACACGGGGCGGCCGTCCGCGATAGGCGCACCGGACATGCTGTGCGGTGCGCTGCACGGCCCGTTTCGGCTGTCTATCATATCGTGAAACGAAACAGCGCGCTATCCTGACTGGGCGGGGCGCTCCATTTTTATTTTTCATCCGGAACGTTTCAGGTGCCATTGGGAGGGCTATAACGTGATTTAGTGATGAATCATTTTTTAAAACGGGTTTTATTGCCGCTATATTCTAAGCTCCAGGGAAATTGAGGTAGAAACGAGTGAAAGGGTATAGTTGTTGCGAAAGAGGAGAGGAGACTGTGAAACCTTAAACATCGATTTACGGCCTGCGAATAAACGCAGACCATGACGTGACGCATCAACGGCACCGTGAAAGGGGTAGTCCGGCCCGAACGGCTTTCCTGAAAACGCTGATGCGTTTTATCGCGTCGTGGTCGCTCAATGTAGCACAATCAAGCTGTAATGTACCCTCTGTGTCCTCTCTCTCCGCCCCCTTACCTCTGCTCGCCGTGTTCCGCTGAGTCGTCTCGGCGCTCCGCGATTCTGAATTGAATAATGGCTTCCCTGAAGACGGAAAGGGACGGCTAGGCCCGATACTATTTCCCCCGCCCCCTCTCCACATCTCCCATATACGCACTCCATATTTTTCTTCATCTTTTTCGCCCCTCCCACCAATGAATAGAGGAAAGAAAAAAGAGGGCCTCTAGTTATTTCGATCAGCCCATGATCGCGCGCAGTTTTGGCTCCGTGGACGCCCCGCCCTTTCCGTGCCCTTCCCTTGCTCTCTGCTCCCCCCTCTGCCCCCTTTCCTTCTCCCTCATTGTTCCTCATTCGCTCTCCTTTCCCCTCTACGTGCGCGCGGAGCGGGGAGCCTTTCGCAGAGGTATCGAAACCCATCGGCCCGGGTGGGGCACGGTGGGACGCGGGCAGAGAGAGTAAAACGGAACGGAACACAGAACAAGCTCATTAGCCCCAGACCTTTGCGAAGGACGGCTCGGCGCGCCCTGTGCGCGCAGGACGACGTAACCTGCGGGGGGGCCTGCGCGAAGCGAACGTTATCTTCCTCGGTCAAGGAAATGGAGTGATCCAAATGTGAAGAAATTGATCATGTACGTTCTACTGAATTCCCTATGAGTTCCACATGATTTTAAACAGAGTTGCACTTGCACTCTGACCACTTAGTGCATGTAGTGGTTCTAAAGTAAAATAGACCGTCCTCAAACGGCAGATCACACCTTTTCAGTATCGAAACATTTGCACTTTCTGCAGTGCCTTTAGTTGTGTGTTTACAAACGGTTATTTATGCATAAACCCTATCACACAAATGCACAATGTATAGAAGGTCCTTCTTTCGTGTATGTCCATACTGGTAATTTTTCAATTTTGTCCATTTTTTGCTTGTTATTCTGTTCCCTTTCGACCCTGGGCTATTCTAAATGTTTGCATTGTATCACTCACCTTATTAGTCTACTTCTTAGAATCGTGCTAGTTTGTTGATTTCTCTCACTCGCGCTTCTCTCTTCTTCCGTGTATACCCACGCTGGTAATTTCTTAATTATGTCAATTTCTTGCTTATTCTCCTTGGGCCCTGGGCTATTCTATAAATGTTTGCATTGCATCACTCACCTTATGAGTCTTCTTCCTGGAATCGTGCTAGTTTGTTGTTTTCTCTCTCTCGCGCTTCTCTCTTTCTGTTTTCTCTGTTCTCTATTTTTGACGGCAGCAATCGCCTTGTCGGGGATCCGTCGTGTCTCTGGCCGCGGGCGGGGTGGTGGGGCAACAAGTGAATCCACATCATGAGTAAACACGGTATACGCGTTTGTCCTCGCTGTGTGTCGTTTTGGAAGCGCTCCCGGTGGGTCCCAGTTCCCTCCTCCACATTATCTTCCTTGCACAAGGGGCTTATGGTATGTATTTGTCCGCGTTTGCAGGGATATCTTGCTTGGCATTACTATGACGGGGCCATTTTCAGACCGGTTCTTTGTAGGATTTTTTTCTAACATAACAAAAGACAGATAAGATGAAATAGTTGTTGATTTCGTGATTTTACACTGTAAAAATACTCGTAAGGGTAACAGGAAAATTTTCCATGATAAAAGTCGTAAAATTACAATTTGAAATTGTTAATTTACAAGCACTTCCTATCGACTTGGAACTGACCGACGAGCAAGAATGGGTTGTCATAAATTTACGACATATTTTGTAAATCAAAATTACAACAAATGTCGCAAATTTTCGAAGATATTTTTCACATTGTACGGTTGGTGTACAAATGCCAATGTGAACGCTGAAAACGTTCCAGGTAGGTGCATTGGGTTATAAGCCAAATTCAAGTGGTCCGAATATACGTGGAAATACAATTAAATGTAAACGTTTCTTTATATTATTAAAATT